GCTGCCTTTTCTTGTAAGAGAGGTTTCTCTGATATCAAGGCAGTAGGAACAGGCTCACAATGAAATGGAACAGTGAAAAATGCCTTTACAGAGTCAGCTGAAGGGGGAAATCTACTCTCCTGATCCAAAAACCTTTCCCTCTAACATTCCCATCGGAGTGGGTATAGAATTGAGCCCGTTTGTGACTTTTCCCTCAGGGTCTGTTAGATGGGCTTTTATTCAATGTGATTTCAGTCATCAGATCATAATAAAGTTGCTCTGTTCCTCATGAAGCTCACATTATGGATGTACAGCCATCGTGGCCTATGGACTGCTTAGTTTTTCCTGTAAAAACAGAAATCCTTGTACGGCTGGGAGCTTGTAAAAACAAGCCTGAAGCTACCCAAATTTTTAGCTTTGCAGTATAAACGAGAAACTAAATTCTTCACTGCAAAACATATATGCACCTATATATGCTCGAGTTTTCGACAATGAGACTCATTCATGCAGAAGACGACACTTTCCAGGTGAATATTGCCTTGTTCTAGCACCACACGCCAAGTAATGTAATTGAAGGGCGTTTATGAAATGTTCGGGAATCCTGAGCAGATGGGAGAGTAGGATTGTGTGTTTGGGGTGTTCCGAGGTGAGCTGCAGGCCAAGAGAGAGGTGAAGTGCTGAAAATGAAGCTTTCTCAGGGCAGAGTTTGGGGTCTAAAGGGAGCAATTTGATCTCAAGTAATGGTGGTTATTCCCGGTTGCCAAGTGCTGTGCGCTAATCGGCACCTCCAGTACCGAGCCCTCCCTGCCTTCGGGTGTCGTTTAGACACCCGTCGTTTAGACACCCATCGTTTAGACATCCGAAGGGAGAAACACAGGATCTGGAGGTGAAGCGGCTCGGCCCGGCTCGGATGCGGCTGAGGACACCGCGCTCCGCGGGCACCTCCGGGCTGCTCTGCCCTCCCGCACGTAGGGAACACGGGAAAACTCCTTCGAGTCTTGTAATAGATCACATCTAATGGATTTTTCACAGCGACCGGAATATTTGATTTCCCGCGGTACAATTAGTTAATTCTCGGGAGCTCCGGCGTGCAGGGCAGACCCCCACATGCCAGGTTTACACGTAGCCGTATTCCCCCGTTTGTTAGGGGGATAAATGCTCCACGATCTTAAAGACCAGTAGTATTCGGGGAAAGAAGAAGAGGGGAAAGGAAGAAACTAGGATTGCTTGCAACGGCGGCACGGTGACTGCCCGTACAGGCTGCGTTGGCGGCTGTGCCGAGGAGGGGAAGGGACCGGGGAGCCGCGACCCGCTCGTTTGAGAAACAGGGACTCGGGACACGCAGCGCCTGGGTCCGCTTATAAAGCCGCGTCTGTGCCTCTCTCTCCTACGCTAGCCAAATTAACGCGGGTTAACGTAGCTGCTGGAGCGGTCGGGAAGGGTAGTTTCTTGCTGCGGCACCAGCAGCGTGTTCGGCCCCGTGCCTCCCGGAGCGGAGCCGGGGCAGCAGAACGGACAAAGTGGCAGTGTCGCCTGCCCTCCGTCCGGGTGCCGGTGCAGGCGGAGGGAGCCTTGCTCCGGTGCCTGCGAGCGGGTGCGGTAGCCGAACGGGAGTGGTGCTCCCCGAGCGAGGGGTGTCCAGGAGCACCGGAGACACGTTTTCTCTCCAAGCGGAAAATAAGTAAATAAATAAATAAAGTGTGTGAGAGGAAGCGTGACACATTTTCAAACAAACTGATCCCAGCCCTTCCAGGTAAAGCCGGCGCTGCTGCCTGCACGGGGGTGAGTAGAAAAAAACAGCCCCTACTCGGGCTCCTTCTTGCGTCTTGCCCGCTCTGCAACGGCCGGCACGGCTTCCGTAGGAGCCCTGCTCGCGGTGCCGTGTCCCAGCCGCGCTCCCCGGTGTCCCAGCTGGAGCCCCCCGCCGCTTGCCGTGACCTGCTCTGCACGGCAGTTCCACTCGCGGGAACGATCCCGGCCGCTTCCCCGCCGAATACCGGACTTGGTTAGGGAAGGCGGACCGGCCCGGCTCGGTACCGGGGAAGCACGGCGAACCACCGAATTGCAACCCCCGTTGGGGAGCTGGGTTGCGCGGCCGGGGCTGAGCCCCACTCTGCCCGTCTCCTTCCCTGCTTCCCTGCGCTGGGAACGGACTGCGGCCGGGGCTGCTCTGTGTGAAAAAAGTGAGAGCGCCTTCCCCACCGCCCCTCAGCGTTCTGCCATGGGATCTGCCCCTCTCCGCAGCGGGAAGGTGTCCGGGCATCGGCGCCGTGAGCCCTGCTCCATTGCTACCCTCCTCCTGCGTCCCCTACACCCGAGGGCAGCAGGCTCGGTCGGGGAGCAGCCCCGCTGTCTCCTCCCTTCTATTTGTCCCTGTTTGTTTGATTCCTTGTCCGACACCGGGAGCGGCGGGGGCTCTCCCGAGCTCACCGACACGGGACCTCTGTCCCGGGTTGTGCGGCATCCTCCGCTCCCCACCGGAGATGGGCTTGCCGCGCCCCTCTGCCCGCTGCCCGACCCCGTTCATTGCATTCCCCTCGCTGCGACATGTCTGTGAGTGCCGGTAGGACTCCAACTCTTTGCTGAACTGCAGCCACAGTGTCCAGGCTAGGCTGTCGTGGCTTAATCATACGGTTTAATGTCCCAAGAAGGGCCCAGTTAGCACCGGGGAGAGGGGACAGCCGGGCAGTGCCCGTAAGTCAAATGTTCAAGTAGCCGCACACGGGGCTGCGCTCTCACCTTTGCCGCTGCTCGGCCCGATCGCCGCTCCCAGCTCTGGGCTGAGCTGCTGCCCTTGGGTGTTCATCCGAAAGTCCCCCTTGCTGGGGCTGTCAAAAAAACAACAAACCCAAGCAAGCCCCTCAGATGTCCAATGTCCTCTGTGAAACAGGCAGCCCTGGTAAGGAGCTGCGCGCCCGGCTTAGGAGTGCAAAGGGAGGAATGTGCTGTTTGGCGGAGGTGATGACACACGCAACAGTGCTGTTACACCTGCATCGGGCCTCGCCGCGGAAATGCCTCCGAGGGGGAGCGCCGAGAGCAGCCTGGGTGGCCGGCAGAAAACAGCCAGGCCGGCCCAAGGGGGCCCGGCAGCCCCGGTCCCGGGCACGGCTAGGTACGACTCCCCTCCGCAGAGGCACCCGCCGCGAAGCTTCCGAGGAGCGACCGGGGAGGAAAACCGCTAAGAGCATCTCTCCCTCGGCCCCATTCCTCCGAGGTTTCGTTTATGCGCTTTAGGGGGTTACTTTAAGTGCTGCGTGCGCTGTTCTGCGGCTGTGTGCAGAAATAGAGGGGCCTGGAATCTGTGACCGAATTAATGCGGTCCACGCTTTAGGGTACGCGTTTCGCCGCCGACGAGAGACGGGAGATTCGTTATATGGCTGTAGACGAAGAGGCAAAAACGTATTCGAACCCAGAAATATAAGGATACACAGAAATAGAATGGCTTCCCGAGGGCTAGTTTATTTGTTTCTAGATCTCCGCCCCCCTTCACCCACAAATATCCTCCCCCGGAGGGGAGCGGAGACCCGTGTGCCCTTGGCTGGGCAGAGGAATCGGAGCTCCGCGCATGGCGCGCCGAAGCCCCAGGACACCCCGACGGGAGGGGCGGCTGCACCTGGTACGCTGTTCGAGGGCAGCCAGGCTCTGCCGGGCTGGCGTTTGGTTAACGAAAACTGATGTAGCGCGTAAAACCCGCGGGGCGCGGAATAGCGCTGAGCGGCGGCTCACGTTCGGGAGCGGCAGAAGCGAGCACGAGGGCTCCGGCCGCGGGCCCCAGGGCATGAGTAGCAGCTCCGAGAGCCGCTTCTGAACATCCCTAGAGGGGAGACCCCGAGCCGTGCTTGAGTGCGTGAGGGTATCGGGTCCTTGTGGCTGCACCCCCGGGGCGCACTGACAGCGCGGTTGGGGAGCTCAGGTGACCCCGGCCCTGTGGAGCTCGGGCTCGGCCTGGCTCCCTCTGCCGCGATGTTTGGAAGGGAGGTTCCGGAGGACAAGCAGGGCTAGGCTGCCCTCTTCCCGGGGACCGGGCTAAGGGCTCCGTTAGAAACCAGCGCGAAGTTATTATCCGTCTGCTTCTCTACCCGAGGTGGGAGCAGCCTCATGTTAGTGATTTCTTATTGCACGACACCTCTGCTGGGCGGGAGGGGGGGGGGGGGGGAAGGAGAGGGGGGCCTCTACCTGAAGGCAGAGAAGGGGAAGGAGCAGGGCAACGTCGGTGCAGCATATGCCGCCCCACGAACCGTGTGAAACCAACTGGAGACGTGCAGGTGAAGGAGCGGGAAAACTGGCCGGTGTGTCACCCCTCGCCTCGTCACTCTCCACTGGCCCTCGGGGCGCCTGTCAGCCCCGCAGCCTACTTCGCGGGGAGAGAGGAGAGACCTGACACCGTTTGCTCTGCCTCCTGCAAATAAGGGCTGCAAGAACCGACTTGCAGGCAGCGGCAGCAGCCTCCTTGTGCTCCCCGGGAGCGATCGGTTGGCGGGGCCCGGGGCCAAGACATACAAACGCGTCCGAGTGTGCGGCTGGACGTCCGGGGCAGGGGCGAACACCGCGGGTAAACTCCGCACCCGCCGCCTCCAACGAGGCCCCTGGCCGGGCGGGAGGGGAGCCCACCGCCGAGGGCCCCATCCGAGCTCCTCGGGCGGGCTGGCGGCGGAGGCTTGATCGGTGCCCTCCCGGACGCCGCCTCCCCCCTTAACTTCCCCCCCCCCCCCCCCCCCCCGCCCCGGTGGCGCGACCGAGCCGGGGCGGTTCCGTGCCGTTCCGCGGGGCTACGTCGGGCCGTGTGTGCGTGGGGCTGAGCGCGGCGCCGTGACTGCGGGGTGAACTCGGCCGTGCCCAGCGGCTCGGCGGCGATAGGGGAGCGGACTCTTGACGAAAGCGGAACTCGGCCGGGCCCATACAAATCAGAAAAGAGCCCGGCCGCGGCGGCAGAGGGGAGCGGAGCCCGCGGAGGCAGGGACGCTGCCGCCGCCGCGCTGCACGGACCAGCGGCGCCTCGAAAGGCGCCTCCCCATCTTCGTCCCGGTCCCGGCTTCGACCTCGGCCCCGGTCTTAGCGAGCGCCGGGAGGGACAGGACGGCCCCCGGCACCGAGCTCCGCACATCGGGCAAGCGCTCCGCAGCCGTGCCGCGGGCGGCGGGACGGCGGGACGCGGGGCACCATGATGAACAGCTACCCAGACGGCGAGGAGGACCCGGTGGCGCTGCTGGCTCATGACACCGGCGGCAGCAAGGAGCCGGAGCGGGTCAAGGAGGAGCTGGGCGCCGAGAAAATCCCTGAGAAGCCGGACCCCTCGCAGAAGCCCCCCTACTCCTACGTGGCCCTTATCGCCATGGCCATCCGGGAGAGCGCAGAGAAGAGGCTCACGCTGTCCGGGATCTACCAGTACATCATCAGCAAGTTCCCTTTCTACGAGAAGAACAAGAAGGGCTGGCAGAACAGCATCCGCCACAACCTCAGCCTCAACGAGTGTTTCATCAAGGTGCCCAGGGAGGGCGGCGGCGAGCGCAAGGGCAACTACTGGACCCTGGATCCCGCCTGCGAGGACATGTTCGAGAAGGGCAACTACCGCCGGAGGCGAAGGATGAAACGGCCTTTCCGGCCGCCCCCGACCCACTTCCAGCCCGGCAAAACCCTCTTCAGCCCCGACACCTACGGCTACCTCTCCCCGCCCAAATACTTGCAGTCCACCTTCATGAACAACTCGTGGCCGCTGGCGCAGCCCCCTGCGCCCATGCCCTACGCCTCCTGCCAGATGTCTGGTGGGAACGTCAGCCCCGTCAATGTGAAAGGACTCTCGGGCCCGGCATCCTACGGCCCCTACTCGCGGGTGCAGAGCATGGCGCTGCCCAGCATGGTGAACTCCTACAACGGCATGGGCCACCACCACCACCACCCGCACGCTCATCATCCCCAGCAGCTCAGCCCGACCAGCCCCGCGCCGCCCGCGGCCCCGGCGGCGAACGGAGCCGGCCTCCAGTTCGCCTGTGCCCGCCAGCCCGCCGAGCTGTCCATGATGCACTGTTCCTACTGGGAGCACGATAGCAAACACAGCGCCCTGCACTCCCGCATAGACATCTAGGGGGACTTCGGCCGATAGCCCACCGCCCTTGCACCGGCTCCACTACCACTCTGCGATCCTGCCGCCTTCTCCTCCTTTCTCGGGTCTCTCCTTCTCTCCAGCCGCGGACTTTCCTCTCTTCGTGCCTAAACTGTTGCGGTGGGGAAACGGCGGCCCTGCTCCTTGTGTAGTGTAAGTGTAAGAACCGTTCTACGAGGAGGAGAAGGCGGTGTAAATGCGAGAGCCGGTGCGCTGCCGCTGGGCGAGCTCGGATCTACCGTTCGTTTCTTTGCTCTTGTGTGTGTGTGTTCGTTTGTTTGTGAGACGGTTTGGTTTTTTGTTTTTGTTTGTTTGTTTGTTTGTTTTGGTGGGTTTTTTTTGGGGGGGAGCATGTAATTAAAAATAGGCTGTTTAGCCCTCAAAATTCTGCTCCTTTATAATTCAGCCGTAATCCTTTCGGGCTCAGCCTTGGGGAGAGTGAAAAGCGGAGCTTGTAAATAGCGGCATTTCCATGCGTGGCGGTGCTGGCTGGTGAGGCCTAGCTGCTGCCGTGGTGCTCGTCCTCCTCCTCCTCTTCATCTGCTCTTTCTTTTTCCTCGGACTGCAAAACACCGCGCTTCTTCCGAGCAGCGGCTTTCTGTCAAAATAGTACTTAGGTGGGGACTTCTGGAGCAGCGGGAGATGCCGGTTGTCAGAAACCAACAACCGAACCTGCCAGTGTCACTCGGGAAACGTTTCACTGTCGGTAAAATATAGTTTTAAAAGGAGACAATGTCTTCTGAGGTCTTAAAAGTAATTTTATACAAGTCTAAAAATTATTTTGACGTTACAACAAAAGAAAAAAAAAAGGACGGTTTCCTGTAAATTGGATTTTTTTTTTCCGTGTGCATATTATGAATAATAATGAAAGTTTAAACTATCTTCGGGTTTTGTCGACCCCAAACCTGGCCCAAAATGGATTCTCCGGTAGGTTCTGCTTTCGAATGCTTGCCCTTTACTCTTAAAACGTTTTGATCCTTCGATTTTACATAGATTAATGTGAAGAAGAAAAAAAAAATAGAGTTTATAATACCGGGGCCAGTTCGTAGCGATTTTGTAAACGTTTATGTAAGCTGATAGATGCTGTGGCATAGTACCATTTTGGGACCAACTTTTCTAGAGTGAACTAGCACTTTTATTGTACTTCCTAGCATTTTAAAGTCTCCAATAAAGTGGCTTTCCTTCTTTTCAGATCATTTTATTTCGCTCCGTTCTTCCGTGATCGGGGTCGAGAAGCGGCAGCGGAGAACGGGCTGGGCGACTTGTCCCGGGGACATTCCGAGCCGTCCGGCCTGCTCTCTTCGGCCGTCACCGCTCCCAGCCCCTGTCCCAGTTCCAGCCGCGGCCGTCCAGCGCTCGCCTCCGCCGCGGGCAGTACGAGGACTGTGCCGGGGCGGTGGATCGGCTCCTTTAAGCGCCGTGGCGGGAGGGGTCCGGTGATGTTTTGGCGGCCGCCGCGGAGGTGCCGGGACCGCTTCGTTGGCTCTGCGGGAGCGATCGGGAGCTGTGGGACACGGGCAGCCGCCGGCACCTCGCCCGTGTGCCCGGCTCTCCCAGGGCAATGCCGGCGGCGGTGGCCGACACCGACCTTGGCTCCGCTTTCGTTTCATCCCCACCCGCTCGGGGCCGCGGCGCTGGACGACACCGCGCAGCTCCGCGTCACCCCGGTCCCGGCCGAACCAGTGCCTGTGCTTGGGGCCGCTGTCGGGCCTCGCTTTCCAAGCCGGGCCGGTTGGTCCGGGCACGGGCCTCACTTGAGGAGTTCATATGCAACGGTTCCTTTGCGGGCTGCATGGGGGGATGGGAGGCTCGGGACGGGACGGTGCTGTTGGCAGGTGGGGTGGTCTCCGCAGAGGGTCCCCTCGAACGCCAGTCTGGGCCAGGCCTGCTGCTGTTCGGCGGGCGGGAGCGGGGATGTGCGTGTTCCGCTCGTTCCGGGTTGCACGGGCAGCTAGCTCTCCCGGAGGGTGGGGTAGCAGGGCGAAACGCGGTACCGGGGGTGAACGCTCCTCTCCTGCTGCCGGGAGCAAGAGGGGGCCCACGGGAGAGGTGACCAGCGGGCACTGGGTGCAAACAGACCGTTGCTCGGCTGGAGGCCCTGCTGCGCTGCCTGTCACCAGTACCCAGACCCTGGCGCGAACAGGAGGGCGTTGGGAGCGGTGTTGCGTCCGAGGGTTCCTGCTCTCGGGGCTGCAGCAGACGCGGCCGCTTCGCGCTGTGCACTGGGACCTCGGGCCGAGCTGCTGCCGCGGGGGCCTGGAGGTAGGGAGGGAGCGAGCCCAGCTCCTACCATGAACACACCGGTGTCATAGGGAGCGAAATGCCTCCCAAGCGGGCAGCCCCGGGATGCCAGCGCACATGGCACAGGGCCCCCACTCATGCTTTCGCCACCCGTGCCTCTGCCGGCCTCTGCCGGGAGCGGGGAGCTCATTCGGGGCCTCTGACCTGCCCGGGGCCGTCGGGTGGAACTGCTGGTGGAGGGGAGAGGCGTCACCGTTCACACGGCCTCAGGAGCGCAGGGCGAGCTCGGCGACCGGCCCAGGCAGCCCGGTGTCCGCCTGTGGGTTGCAGCCTTGCACCAGAGAACTCAGGGCCGTGGCAGTTCGTTCTGCTTGTTGCTTATTCGATAGGCATTGATAGTGCCGCTTTGTTTCCTCCGGGGTACGTGGGGGCAGTGGCGGGCTCGCAAGAGAAGCGGTGGGCTCGGGGCGAAGGGAGGGCAGGACCCCCCCGGCGCCCCACGGGCCGGCTGTGCCACCGCTCGAGCGGGCTGCAGCGCCCATAGCAAACGGCTGTGAGCTGCTGGGGCCTTGCCGGCGTTGCGTGAAAAGGTACCCTACGGTGCCCCGGGGAGGGGGTACAGTGGTGGCCCCCTGGGCTGCCTCGATTCCCGCGGGGCCTCCAGGCGGTGCCGCCTCAGCAGGGGATCAGCGCTCGGCTGTCGTAGCAGGGAGAGGCAGGGAACAGGGCACTGGGTTGCCGTTCGGGCAATCGTTGCCTCTGGACGAGCGTCTTCTCGCCAAGAGAGCGCCGTGCGGGTGTGTGGAGCTGCTTGGAAGCGAGTAAAGGTGCTGTCGAAGTCCTTGGCGAGCCTGCACCCACCCGGGGCTCCCCGCTGCGGCTCCTTCCCCGGGGTCTGGGCCCGCCAGGGAAGAGATGCAGGCGGCCCGGGCCGGTGGAGGCCACCCGTCCTGCCAGGTCGGGGCCCGTCAGTCTGCCGGGCTCCCTGTGATCGACCGGGGCTCTGCTTGCCTTTGGTTCTGCTCTCCGAGTCAGCGAATGCCGCCGTCGTTCCCGTAGGATGTCTTCACGGTCGTATTCCGTATTTTATAAACAGAGGCTGCATTGAATATAAACTCCCGTGGTTCACTAAGCAGCCATCGTGTCGTGTGTACGGCTGCAGGCCTCTCCCTTCACCCTGCCCTGAGGACAGCCCGGAAAGCCCCCGTGCGGACCGCTGCCCTGTTCGGGCCCAGCAGGGCCCCGCGCTGCTTCCAGCCCGGCCGTGCACCCGGTGGGGCCTCCTCTCTCTGCCCTCGGCCCTTCGCAGAGGGGACGGGAAACCAGAGCAAGAGCCCTGCCGTAGTCCAAGCCGACTTGACCACCCTCACTGGGCCCTGCGGGGCAGCAGGGGGGTGTGGGCACGGCCCGTCCTAGGTCCCCACCGACGTGGGGAGGGGATCCCGGCCTTCACTCAGGGTGTTCGCCTTGGGCAGTGGGCACCGACCTGTGGGGAGCCGTAGGAGACCTCGCTGTGGTATGCGTTAACGAACACCCACGCCTTGGCACACAGGGACTGAGATTCCCCGCGCCGCCAAGCCCCGACCACAGGGCAGATAGTGCCCTCATCCCGGGAGAGCGGCGCTTGGTACAGCAGCGGCTGGGTGGGAGAAGGGGTCTGTGCCCACCCCACAGGCACGGAAGGCGAGGGCCCATGGGGTGCCAGCACACTTCGGATCCGCTCTCTCCCACCCCGGGGTGCCCGGGTACCTCCTCCCTGCTCCCACCTTCCCCGGGCAGCGCTGCCAACCCTTCCCCGCCGACCCCTTAGGAAATCAAGCGGCAGAGAGACAATCTCTTGGCAAGAGCGGGGTTTGCGCATTGTGTAAGGCCTTTCCCCGTTATATAAATGACGGCAGGAGGAATGCTCCGCCAAGCGGGATGCTCTTCCCAGGCCGGCACCTTGGCGCAGAGCCTTCCTCAGGCTTCGTGGCCACCGCCCGCTCCGGGGCTGCTTCAGTGCCGGAGCCGAGGCAGCGGGACCCAGGGCCGCTGGTCCAGCCGAGCTGCCGCCGCTGCCCTGCCGGAGCGGCCCCAGGTTTATGCAACGCTGGCGAGAGATGAAAGCAGAAGAGCGAGGGCTGTTCTCTCTCTGCGCGGAGCGGGTGTGGAAACAGCCTGCCTCAGCACTGCCCGTGCCCCTTGCGGGAAGGGTTTGCTGCCCGGGGCTGAGCGGGCTTCCACCGCATCACGGCTGCTCCAGCCCTCGGGGCAGCGCCAGGCCTGGGGGTTGGGGGGGGGGGGGGGAGGGCTGTTTTGTGGCCGCAGGGTTTTCTTCCTTTCCGGTCCTTTGCGCAGCCCTCGAGCCCGGTGGCAAAGGCTTGGGCGCCGGGAGCGCTCCCCGCAGGTAGGGCTTGGCACGGCATGGCTCAGCTCGCTGTGCCCGGAGCGGGAGGGCGGCCGTGCGGGTGACTGCAGACAGGGCCGAGCGGTGCTGCGGAAGGAGCACAAGGCCCGTTCTCACCTTGCGCTCCGCTCCCTCCCCGGCGGTGGGGCTGTTTAATACCGCCTGATTCCTGGTATTCTTGTCCGTGTTTTAAGTGGTGAAAAAGTCATTTCCAGTCCCATGGTCCGCATTTCACCCTGAACTCATTGAAAAGAGAGTGCGGGGTCAGGACTGTTTATTATACAACCAATTAAAACAGGAAAATATGCAAAGGCTTCATTCAGCGAGATCCGGCTATTGTTAAGCCGAAAACGATATTTTTGTTTCAAAAATAAAAAAAGAGTACATTTGTTACTTAAAAAATCTCCTCTCTGCGTGTGTGACGAGCGCGGCTCCCGGCGGTCGGGAGCGCTCTGAGCTCCGGTGGCCCCAGCCTGCCGCGTCCCTGGCCGAACAGCGCTGTGCTGCCGGGGGGCGGCTCGACGGAGTGGGCAGCGGACAGGGACCGGTGATCCCCACTTCCACCTCTCGGGGCAGGGACCGGGGATCCCTTCTTGCACCCGCCGCTATGCGGGTTCCGCTCCTGTCCACTCGCAGGAGAGGCCGGCCAGCATTAAGGGCAGGGAACCAGCGCCGTGCAGGCGGACGTGAGCAGCCGGCGTGGTGCATTGGACAGCAGAAGACGGTGAAAACCAAACCAAAGTACTGCGGGGACTAGAAAGGCCGATACTGTAGCGGGCAACGGGCAGGGCCGAGTGACCATACCGGGGAGCCCCGAGCCGCGGTGCGGAGTCCGGGGCGCAGAGCTGAGCCCAGCCACCGGCGGCTGAAGCCCCGGGCACAGCTCGGCGGCTCCCCTGCGCCTCCTTCATCCTTCCCTGCACAGCCCGCCCGACGCCCATCGCTGGGTCTGCGGGGCATCGTGGCGGCTTGGCAGGGCTCGGTAGCCCTCGGGGATGTGCTGAGCAGCGGGCCTGGGAAGCGCTCACCAAAACAATCGCTCCGGCTGGCCTAATCCAATGAGTTTATTTTAGTCCTCGAGCTGTATTGAAAACATTAGCTCTGCTTCTTGTGGTTGTTTACAGTATGTTGGTCTCAACATCATAGCCGCCCTTCTGGAAAAGTCTTTCAGGATTCAGGCAGAGGGAAACCAACACAGAATTGGCTCGGAAAGCAAATGATTAATCGAATCAGAGACAGGAAGGCGGAGGTAATCAATGAGTTTTCACTTATAGTTTACTCGGATGGACATCTTTTTCCTTTTTGGCTCTATAAGTTTGGAAACCACACGGGGTTTTATTAGCCAAACAAGCAGCTGCAGGGTTTGGAGGGCTGGTGGGAATTCGTTCAAAATCAGTTGCATGTTGCCTGGAGTGGAATTCGGATTTCGACAAAACCTCGTGCTTGATCCCGCCTCAGCACACGGACGGAGCCGGACGGCGAGCACCGAGGCTGCGATGGCGGGGGAGAGCCGAGGAACATGGAGCACGAACGCCTTCAACAGAGCAGGGGAGCTTTGCTCTCC